TACAGAAAGTCAAACTTGAAAACCCTGTGCTGACCTTGAGCGCTTATGATATGTCAGGCACTGCTGCACTCAGGATTTTACATATGGTAACTCATGTTGTTTTCCACCTATTCTGTGGGGCACATAACAGTTACCGTGTTTCACTCCTCACCTCTCTTGGCATCTCTGGTCAGTGTGAGCCTTTAAAACTTCGATGGTATAGCAAAGTTAGTTGATAACTTTTTTTTTGCTATTACAGAAATCATGATGTATTTTGTAATCAGTGGTCTTAGAATTAGTATTTTATTTACATTTTAAAGATAAGGCTGGAGATTTTAAGTAAATTGCATAAAAGGACACACAACTAGTGGGTGACTGAGCTGGGATTAGGAGCTGGTCTGTCTCCTTCCAGTATGGGATAGTCCACCATCCTCAGAGCTTCCTAGATAGTGGGAATGTATGCAAGATAAAGTAAGAAAGCATTTTCCATGGGTGAGGGAACATGTGTTAAGCAATTTAGAAACATGAATGCATCCTTACAGTACTAGCCAAGAGTTTTCCTATTCTTTTTCCAGCCAAGAAATAATTAATAAAATTTTTACGTATAAAACTTAAAATCTGACGCAGGCCTGTTTTTTTTGTTACCTTTTTTTTTTTTTTCTTATTCTTCTTAAACTCCAAGGTCACAGTCTAAACAGTCTTTTCCCTCTTATACCTCTCATAGATGTGTGGTTTTCCTCTGCCTTCAGTGACCTCTCAGCTTGAAAGACAGTGCAGGTTTTCCTTCTAGGACTAGTTCAAAGGTCATTGTCAGAGCGTGTGGGAATTGGTTCCATTCTGCCACAGTGACTTGTGCCTGTTTATCCTGTGGTATTGTAATAATCAGAATTTGCCACCTCCCCACAAACTATGTGCTTCCTCTGTAAATCCTCAAAGTCCAGCATACAGTATGAACCCCACAGATAACAATCGGGTAGATTTTCAGTCTTGGTTTCCTTCCATTTTCCTCTCTGTGTTTGGTTCTTTTGTGGCTTTAATTGAATTTCATTTTCTAATCTCAATTTTTAGATGGGATTTTTGCATTATTACTTTCATAAACTGTAACTGAATGACATTTTTAAAATTACTCAACTATGTATTTTTAAAATTTTATCAATCTCTTATGTTCTTGAATCACAAAATGAGCATTAATAGTGATTACTGATTTAAAACATCATTTCTGTAACAAGAGCCCAGTGTTATAGCCTTAAAGATAATTCCCATCTGGATAAATTTTGATTATTTAAATTGATAAATTAACTTTTGGTGAAATTGAATTCCTTTCTGCCACTGAGCATATTAAATACCAATGATACATATTATTGGATGTTTTAGAGAAAAATAAACTGGGAACAGGGTGTTGTAGGTGTAATCCCAGCTGAGGTAGGAGAGTTGCCCTGAGTTTGAGGCCAGCCTGGAGTACATAGTAAGTTCAAAGCTGGCCTGAACTATATAATGAGACCCTGCCTCGAAATGAGAGGGAGAGAGAGAGAGAGAGAGAGAGAGAGAGAGAGGGAGGAAGGAAGCTCTGGTATTTTTATGGTTGGTAGTAAGAAATACACAGCTTAATAGGATGATTTATTCTAAAGGTACAGGTCCAGATGTACTCCAAACCAAGAGAACATCTAAGTTGGGATTTGTTTAGGAAATCAGATGTTTTCTTTAGTTGTTACATTTCAGGTTTCAGTTTGTTTTTTGTTTGCTTGCCTGCTTGCTTTGTTTACTCTTAAGTGTTTTTCTTTTACAGAAAAGTGTGCATAAGTATTTGCCGGTATAAATTGACAAAGGAGAATTTTATACATAAGATAACAAAATAAAGAGGAAGATGGCCCATTCCTTGAGTTGAATGAAGTACACATCTCTTCAGTTGCTTTTTTTTTTTTTTTTTGGTACCGGGGACTTGGGCAAGTGGCTGCACTACTGAGCTAAATCCCCGGCTCTCTCTTTAGTTGTTTTTCAAAAAATTATATTCCTAGCTTTATTTATTGGAGTACTTTGTAACTTTCATATCATGTTGAATGAATTAAAGTAACTATCGGGGCCAGGGATTTAGTGCAGTGGCACTGTGCTTGCCTGGCAAGCTCAAGGTCCTGAGTTTGATCCCTGATGCTGAAAAAAATTAAATAAATAAATAAATAAAGTAACTATCAGAATTGTCTTAGACAATAGAAAATAATTCCTTAGGGTTTTTGCCTTGTCTTTGGTGTATTTGAGAAGTATATTTTCCAGCAGATATTTACATAATAAAGCTGTTACCTTACTTTAATATCTAGATCTACATTTAATGATTTGATCTCAAATATTTCCTTCCCAAGAAAAATAACTTGTTTTAGAGCAGTGGTGGTGAACCTGTGGCATTCATGCCAAGGCAGGCACGCAGAGCCCTCTTTGAAGTCGTCCCAGCATCACCTCAGCACCTGAGCATTGGATAACAAACAGCAAGCCAAATACAACCTTTTACCTTTCAGTAAAAAGCTGCTTATATCAGTGAAAGCTCTTTTACTGTGTGTGTTCTTTAAGACAAAAGATGTTAATGTATGAGTTGTTTTTTCTAAACTAAAACCTCAGTATTCAGGTTTAATTGCAGTTTGGGCATTCCTCTCCAAAAGGTTCGCCATCACAGTTTTAAGAGTATGACCTTTTAGGATGCTTTCTTTTCCAGACTAGGATAACTTAATCAGATTATAATAGTACTTATTACTATTATTATTTTTATTTTGCTGCCAAATGGAAAAAAAGCCATTCTGTCTTTTCATTTATCCAGTTGGCAGTTCTTTTACTGTTCTAACAATTCCTTCTGTTTTATTATCTCTGTTAAAAGTATCTTGGGTATTTTCTGTCTTCCAACTGCACTGTAACTGGTACTACCCTAATTAAACAAATACTTTAAAAAGTACATTACAAAGTATGTTAAGATGAGTCTACATAAAGAACATTCACTCACAAAGTAAGAATTTCTTGCCTTGAAAGACTAGCGGTCTTCCAAATACTGCTTGTAGTACCTTTCGGTCAGTGACTCCTTCTCTTGTGATTTTTCTAATACAAGTTCTTAAGATTAGAGCTGCTATTTTGCACCACTGAACTGCTGAGAAATATGGTATATAGTATTGAGAAAGAACTTTTCATTTTAAACATTTTTTGGTGGAGAAAAGATTGTTTCACTAGGTAGGTATGGCACTTCTGTCTCCACAAAATCGTATTGGTAACCCATGTATGTGCATGACTAACAATCACAGACATTGACGACTGATCAAAGAGTGTTTCTGTTTAGACTTTAATTGAAAAGCAAAAATCAAACCTCCTCCCCTTAAATAGGAAGAAAAGGAAGGAAAACTGCAGAATTAATACCTAGTTTTTGCAATTCATATTTATTTAAAAAATAGAAGTGTTACTAATAACTTAGTTTAATAGATATATCTAAAATAGATGTGGAAAGCCAGGTGTGGTGGCACACACCTGTGATCTGACACTTGGTAGGCTGAGGCAGGAAGATCACTGTCAGTTTGAGGCCAGCCTGAGCTACATAGCCAGACCCTGCCCCAAAAAAAAAAAAAAAAAAAAAAAAAAAAAAAAGAGGGACATGTTATAAATACTAAGTTTTCATCCTGATTCTAAGCCTTTACTGGATTTTAAATAAGATTTTACTATATGGTCATTATAAAAGAATGCTTCGGGAGAGCTGTTTTTAGGAAAATAACTGAATCATGCAGTCCTATAGTTCTTTTTTTACTCATCCTTGATTATTTATGTAGTTTATTTTTTAAGTTATAGTCATTTTTCCTGCTTGGAAGAATTAAGAGCTAGTTATTTATACTTAAAGACAGCTTATTAAAAATATTTGAAATTAAAAAAAACTTGCTCAGGCTACATATATAACAATTTAATCGTTGATACCTTCTTTCCTCACTTTTCCACCAACAAGACAGTGTAGTATTTTCACTTTTTGGTCCTGTCTTGTTGTAAACCTATGACACCGAAGCAACAAGTACATTTCGTACTTCTACATACCCGTATTACATTTGTATCACCTTTTCTCTGTGTTTTGGCCAGATAAATGAAGAATTGGATTGAAAAAAAGAGATTTTTTGTACTTTAATTATCTTTGAATCTTCCCCTTTTCCACCCTAATGATTCAATACTGATTTTGTTCTGTAGTATTCCTCTTACCAATACCTTAGCCTGACCTGAAGTAATTGTAAAATTTAGCTTGCTATTAGCTGTTAATAAAGCTGGAGATTAAATCAAACTAAAGGTATATCTCCTTATAATCCTGCAGTTAAGATAATCTAAATATCTCATATCCCCTCATCAATTTGGTATAGATCAGATTCTTTAATGCCTCCATATCCCCCTTTGACCTTTGACTCATGTATACTTGGCCCTTGTGCCAGTAAAGTGCCAGAGGTCATATAGTGACTCGGCCTCAGTTTACATGGGACAGAGGGGTTGCTTAGCTATGCACCTTTGGGTTTAAAACAGGGTCTAGGGCCGGAGATTTAGCTCAGTGGTTCCTCTGCCTGCCTAGCAAGTACAAAGTCCTGAGTTCGATCCTTGTACCAAAAACAAACAAACAAAAAACCTGGGTCTCTCTCAAAAAAAAAAAAAAAAAGACAAAGCTGGGTCTCTAGATACATTAATACATATGTATTATAGTAGATAGGAAGTTATTTCCAAAGTATTCTCTTTTATCCCTTAAACCTTATTTCTTAATCAGAAGTAGAAGTGATAAACAGATATAAAGCTAGTTTGAGGAAAGAGCCTGCGCTACAGTTTAAGGAATCTCTTACAGCATAAAGTGTAAACTGTAAGCGGGTTTTATCCTCCTGAGTATTAATGTGTTAATATTTATCGCACTCTCATGAATGGTTTATATACACCTGGAAGATATAGGAAAGCATAGAAAACTTCTCTCTGATCTCGGGGAGCTTAAATGGGATCAAGGTAACTGACATAAGAAAATAACTATTGTTTGTAATACAACACTGATGTCTTACTGTTACAGGAAATGATTCATGTGAATACCTTCTCTCAAGTGGCAGATTTCTTGGAGAAAAAGTTTGGCAACCTCACAGCTGCATGATGCATAAATACAAAATCAGGTAAGAGTTCTTCATTTTGTTTGTTTTGTTTCTCTGGTGGAGATATGGCAGTAAAGCAGAGTACAGTACTTTTCTTGTGTATGTTCGTTAGAGGCTGCCTGATCAAGGGTTGGTCTGAGGCTATTTCCAGATGAAGATTCTGAGCTAGAGCTTCTGAGAAAGCTTTGGCCTCACTGCTGTATGTCAGGGGCGAAGTCACCAGGCCTAGGGTAACCCCAGAGCAGAGGACTGTTGCTTTGCACCTTGGATACCTGCCGTATAGAGTTCTGGGATGATGGATATAAAGCAGTTACAACAGTAAGGGCACATCTTAAATGCTTCCTGAACATCGCTGTTAGGAGTGAGAATTGGCTGAAAATAAGTACATAGACTGGTAAATTAGACAGACCTGGCCACCCACTTCTAAATTCTAACGGGAAGTGTGGCAATCCCTCCCCAACCATATGCTTTGAAATGCTAATTTGTTGATTTTACTTATTTTAATTAATATTTCTGCATTGATTTTAGTGAAGCAAAGAACTGCCTTGTAGATAAGCATGTTGCATTTATTGGAGATTCCAGAATTCGTCAGTTGTTTTATTCTTTTGTAAAAATAATTAATCCCCAGTTCAAAGAAGAAGGAAATAAGGTAAGTCTTTTTTTTCCCCTTCCTCTCAGGTGTTATTTTTAAAAGTTAACCAACTGAATAGTTATAGAAAGAATGTGCCTCTTTAAATCAGTACTAGAAAGTATAAAATTTTTACTTTGGTTTTTTATGTAATCATTTTTTTCTCCTTTGCTTCTTTGCTTTTTCTTTTTAAAGCAAAGACATTTATTGTTACATTTTAGATATACGTAATGTTAAGTCATCATAGGGAGTTTGTATCTGTACATGATGTATCTTGATTCCCTTCTCCCTGTGAGCCTTTCCCTCATTTATAAAAGCTTTATTCCCATTTTTCCTTCTGTTCTCTTTTTTCCCCTTGTCCCTTTTCTTTTCCCCCCTCCCCTCCCTCATTTCCCTTCTCATTTTGGGAAAATTGACAAGACAGGGATAATTTGCTGTATGGGAAAATAAGAGAAAGAAGTGGAAGATAAGGTATTGGCAAACTATTAATATAAATGTTTAATTTTCAAGAATAAACTTTTTTACTGTGGAAAACTTTAAGAAATTCCTTAAAAAAGAAGAAAAAGAGAGAATATCCCCTTTCTTTTAATATCTTGCCATATTTCTTTTGAGTCTCTTCTTATTTCAAATATCTTGTAATCTTTTAGCATGTATAATTTGTAACTCTTTTCCCCACCACTTATCATAATTCTCCATATTATTATATAATCAACTCAAGTATCTTATTCATGGCAATATATTTTGAGTGGATATAATGTAATTTTGTATAAACTTCATTGTTACTAGTTTTTTCAGTATAAAAGTATATTTCCATTTGTATCTTTGTGTGAAAATTTTGTTTTTTAAGTTATTCCCTTCAAATGGAATTTGTACAATGCAAATATTGAGTTAATGAATATAAACATTTAAAAATTATATTGCCAAACTTTCAATTTTTATTCTGATTAGCAATATATTTTGGCGCCTCATTTTCTGCAGGCTTTCTGGTACTGAGTGATTGTGCTATAAATTAAAACAGCAACACTATAAATTTCTGTTTTGATGGAAAGTTTCTCATTTTAAAAATATTTAAGGACCATTATCTTTTATATGTTAATTAGTTATTATTGGTGAATGTAGGATCTTATTGAAGAAATGATCTAGCTTCTTATTGCTATGTTCAAATAGCATATGGCTTGAACTGAGGAGGGGAAAGAAGAGAAAAGTGGAGTACAGGAAGTCTCAGGGTTACCAGAAGAAGAGCTTCTGAATTTATGAGACAAGTCTGCTTGTGCACATTCGCTTGCTGTGTGGAAGGAGCATTTCTCACATTGATGATGGTGGCTCACTAACCCTTAGGAACTGTTTCTTATAGGGAAGTGGAAAGCCATAAAGTCAGCTTTTCATTTAAATGTATTTTCCACTAGTAATCACACACAAAATTATATAGGACAGTTAGAACAATTTAATTTAATAAAAATATCACAATTTAAAGTAAAAACTAGTAAACTTTTTAGAAGAAGAGAGTTCTAATTTCAAAGAACAGACAGTAGTTCTGGAAATAGAACCATATAAGTTTCTGAAAATTGGAATAATGGATTTGGTAGTAGCTAAGGAAGCTATGAAGGCTTTGTCTCCAAAAGCAGATACAGTTTGGTGTACTTTTTCTGAACCTGAGTTATAATGTATAATTTTCCAGGTTTTATTTTCTAGGGGTACCTAGTTATCCAAAATTATTAAACATGATAGATCCATTTTAATTTATATGTATTTTTAAAAGGAAGGAAAGATAGTGTGTCCCACTTCTAAAGAGATAGTTATCAAGATAATGTTTCATTCAAACTGCTAGTGGAGCATTTGCCAAATTATATTTTATATGTCCTCTTATCTCTGAAAACCTCAAGGGCAGGGTAGATGTTTCCTTTTCCTATCAGTTTTTCAAATACATTTTTTGTGCCTAGGATGGTCTGGCATACTATAAAAGCTTTTTGTTTTTTAATCTTGTAAGTCTTGGTAAGGGTGCGTTTGAGTTGTGCAGGAGACTGCAATATTGATTATGCCCAAAGCAGGCTGTGGAGAGTTAACCCCACAATTGGCTGTTTATAGAAGTGAGTCTGGCTGAAGCCTACGTGCTGAGGTCAGAGTAACTCGCACCCAGATTCTGTTCCCACAACTAAAACCTTCTTAATTAGAAAGACAGTGTTCTCATTACAATTATATATTTTGTCTACTTTGAGAATGCTTTGTCTTGTCTTTTACGAGCCTTGCTTACATTAATTTCCATAAAAACTACACAGTTGTGCAGCCTTGCACATAGTTTTGCCCTTGCACAAAGCTTGCCTTTACCTCAATTGCTTACTGATAAAAAACCAGCGGCTCGGATGGACCAGCACTTTTGTCAGTTGCACTGGCACTGGTCATCTGGGTGCCCCACTTTCTGTCTCTCTTATTTCTGCCTTTCAGTTTTTTTTCTCAGGCCTATGTCATACACCAAGCAGAGACTGGAGCCTACTGCAGAGGCTTCCGATAATGTTTCAGGGCTCAACAGTAGGTGGAATAGGAGAATCGAAGATAATTCTTTGAGTTTGCTGCCTTTTTTATATTGTGGTACTTTGTTTTTAAAGAGACTTTACAGGTGGATATTGTCAGATTATACTTTGTGGAGGATTAGTTCTGTGGGAGGCTCCAGTCAAATGTTTGGTGTTTTGATTTAGGTGAGTATATTATACGTTTGAAGTTTTGCAGTATAGAAATCCTTGTTGCATGGCTTCTAGCCACAGGGCGGGCTGGATACTCTAGGGGTTCCTTTTGTTTCAAGCCATTTAGATCCCAGTCTTTAAAAAGTATTGTTGATATATTTCTGAATTTACGAGAAAATGGGAGATGCACCTCAACAAAGAAATGAAATATGAGGCAAAACTGGAGGCGACAACAATAATAGTGGGCAGGTGGCAGCATTTGTGTCAGCCTGGAGGTGAATGCCCATCGCTGTAGTTTCCTGTATGTGGAGACCAAGCTGAGGACCAGCATATTTCTCAGTAGCAGTATTGGGAGCTAGCAGACAGTAGAAGGTTATCTGTACAGTTCCCAGGGAGTAAGTGTTAGCTTTCTGCCATTGGAACTCATCCGTTTGGAGGCTGCATCCTATGAACTGCTGGCCTCCTTTGCTCTGGGATTGTGGTGAAGATCACTCCCCGGCAGAGGCATATGGTAGAGTGACTGACTCCTCTCCTGGCTGGGAAGCCACTGGAGAGAGGAAGACAGTGATGACACACCTTCCTCTGAGAGCATGTTCCCTTCACCTGAAGACTTAGGCCTTACCTCTTGAAATTCCTCCCACTTCCCAGGAGTGCTAAACTAGGACCAGCCTTTAACATAAGGGCCTTCGGGAGATTTCCCCACTCGCGCTGTAGCAGTAAGTTTCAACCTATAATTGTGTACCTAGGATAAAGCTGTCTCTGTTGTTCTTGAAATAGAGGGCATTTTTAGAAATGCAAAAGCTATGAGGTTTTACTACTAAATAGATTTACATTAAAAGGAATTTCTGATGACTACATAACAGCAAGAAGGGAAATACCCAGAAAAATGTTTTGAAATATAAGAAACAATGATAAATAATAACTATATAAATCTAAACAGCTATATAAAACAATAATGTCTTTTTGCCCTTAGTAAAGAAACAGAACTAGAGAACTGGCCAGTATGCTTATAGCATGTAGGTCAGAGGAAGATAGATTGTAATTAAATGTTCTAATGCCCTCTTGCTCTCTAAAATACTTTCTTTAGAACTTAAATTAAAGATGTATAATAAAACTTCAAGAGTGAAGACTAAAACAGTAGAACTAAGATAGGCAGATTCCAAACCAGAAGAAGAAAAAAGTTGAGACCCCATCTCAGAAAATGAAAATAAAACAAAACAAAACAAAAAACCAGCAAAACACTAATGCCAAATATATACTTTCTACCCACATTTATACTCATATATAGAGTGCATACACATAATCATAGGTATATCTAAAAAACTTTTTACATATATTATACATAGGTGAAAAAAGTTAGATGTAGGGGGAGTAGAAATGAAAAAATAAGATGGTAGAAACTTATTTATAATAAAAATAAATGTAAAAGCTAAACGCAGGTTTTCAGATTGCTTTTAAAAAGACATACCTAGGCCAGGTATGGTGGTGCATGCCTGTAATCCCAGCACTTTGGAGGCTGAAGCAGATGGAATGTTATGAATTTGAGGCCAGCCTGGGCTACACAAAAAGATAGATAGATAGATAGATAGATAGATGGATGAAAATTCAGCAGTCCATATGATTCAATTGTCTATTTAGAAAATTCCAAAGAATCTATAGAAAACCCTAGAAGTAATAGATTTTTGTAGGATAGCAGATTATAAGATGAGCATGCAAACATTAGTTCTAATACTTCAATAAAGCTGTTAAAATTTAATTACATATTTCTATACCAACACGTGGAGTTCTAAACCATTTTTAAAATGTATCGTATGAAGGTAAACATTTAGTGTAGCCTGTGGAACTATTATTAGGGAAACTCCTATACTAAGGGACAGACACAAGAGGGTAACTTTACAATCTAGATTGTGGTGTATTATATCATCTGTTCTAGACTCTATAAAAATAATATACTTGATATAGTAATAAAATGAACAAAGAATGTTTTAGATTAAATGAGACTGTGAAGAAACTTGACAACTAAATGTAATATCTGACTTTAATTGGATTGTAAATTATAAGAACTATAGAGAATATTATTGGAAAACTGGGGAAATTTGAATATGGGCTCAATGTTAAATGAGATAATATATAAATGTCTAATTTCATACATGGGTTATAGTATTTAGGAGAATGCCTGTATTCTTAGGAGCTAGATGTCTGACTTTTTAAGAGTGAAATATTAGGGTATCTGCTCTACACCTTTACATAGTTCAGGAAAAGAAAAATGTGTTTTTATATATGTGGAGAGAGAAAGAGCAAGAGAGAAAAGAAAGACAAAGACAGTATACAAAATGTTAACAGTTGGTAAAGGGTTTTAGATGTTAATTTGTCAACTTACCTGTAAGCTTGAAATTTTTCATAATTAAAAGTTGGGAAGAAAGTCAACACTAAATGATATGCTGTTTAGTGACACATACATGAAAACTAAATAAGAAAAAACAAGTAATGTATAAACAAAATTCAAGATAGTGGAGTGTGTTTTGGATGAAGCCAAGAGTTAAGGCAGGAAGAGAACCACATGGATAATTCAATGTGTTGTTAGTGCTCTGATTAGTATCATGGATCAGTGTTTACTTTTTACTGTGCTTTGTAAATTTTGTGTATGAAATTTTGTATATGTCAGACATTATATTAAACTAAAGGAAATGAGAGTTAAATTAAGCTATGCAAAGGAGTAAAAATATAAAGTTCATGATATTGTATATTATTTCTCAGAGGAAAAATTTTAAAGAGGGGATTGGAAAGGAGGAGCACCTCTATCATATTGTTTCACTCAGAATTTCCCACACTTACTTGATCAGGGAAACTTCAGATGACAAAATTTAACGCCCTTAAGTTAATGGTCCCAAGATTCCTTTTAGGAAGTGATGCTTTATGACAACCGCAAGAATCAAGAAAGTTAGCCTATTGTTAAAAGCAAACTTGATTTCATTGAGATTTAAATTTAAGTATTACCTATCTGGTTGAATTAATGAAAACATTTTAACCTTAGTTTTAGAAACCCAATTAGCTTCTTCTTGATTACCATATTCCTGCCCTACCCAGGGTTTCTAACTCTGAAAGGATTTCAGTTTTTACATGGAACACTTATGGTCTCCAAATTTTAACTTTTTCTACAAGACTATTCACCTACTGACTTCAGAGTGTAACCTACTGTAACCTAGAGTCATAATAGCCATTCCTGCTCAGTCAGGGCCAATACTAATATGCTGGTAAGATGGGGGTGAGGTATTTCTGCTGCAACAGACTATCGAAACAAAGCAAAATTAATTTCTCGCTTAGTGCTACACGTTCTGGATGGGGTTAGCAAGAGGCTTTGCTTCAGAGCCATTCTGGGATTCCCGTGTCAGAATTTTTACCATCTTTTAGTGTGCACTTTGGAACATTCAGCTCTCTCAGTCTCTGCATCAGGTGAGCTAGAAACTAAAGAGTTGTCCTGGAAAATTCAACCTGAAAGTAACCCATCTCCCATCTAGCCATTTGTGTTGTTTAGAACTAGTCCTACAAGCCCACTATGCGGAAGGATTCCGGAAGGTGTAGGGAAGCGGTCTGTTTGACACGGGTAGTAACCCCGCACTGAATCAAAGCCATGGCAAGCTTGGCAGAAGATAATTTATATAGCATGTTCGTGTATGTGCTTGTTTGTGGTTCAGGTTTGATTTTTGATGTTGAAAAATCACATATAAACAACTAATTTCTTTTAGTTTTTTTTTTCTTTTCAGATTGTATGTATAGGTAATTGAGATGTGGGGAATAAAAATCAACAAAAGCAACCAAAAGTCGACTTACTTATAAAACTTTAATCTGTAGTTTCTATTATCTCCTTTTTTTTAATGGTAGCATGAAAACATTCCTTTTGAAGACAAGATTGCATCAGTTAAAGTGGTAAGTTCATGTCCTAGTAAACCAAATGTTATAATGTTGAAGTTATATTCATTTGTAAATTTATTTGTAGTTGAGCTAATGCTGTACATACTAAACAAACTGACCATTTAGTATAGGCTTCAGAGTATATACAGATAATAAGATAGTGGAATAAATGTTTATGTAAGTTATTTATGTAATAAAATAGGAAGCTTGATTTCCCAAATTTTTATCCCGGAAAAAGAGATTCCAAATGCATTCAGGATTCATATCTATAAAATAATATATGTAAATTTTCTGAATTCCCAGTCACATTGAGAATTCAGTGAGGGTCAAGACAAAAATGCATTTGACCTAATGGAGTTCATGGTCATTATAGTTCCCTGTGTGCACATAGAAGAGGATAAAAATGGTAGAAACAAAAAGGTGGGGCAGTAGGAGTGTACAGAACAAAGAATTAGAAGTAGTTTTCCTCCTTGAAGAAGTAGTGCTTTAACCGAGGGTTCAGGGACAGGTAGGACTGGCCAAGCTCAGCGGAAGAGGTAGAACATTATGAGTTGAAGGAACAGTATATGCAAGGCGCTAGACACTGGGTGCACATGGAACTGTGCAGGAGCTGAAGAGGGAGCAGTGGGAAAGTAGCAAGAAGACAGGCAGAAGGAACAGGTGTGGCCACATCGTCTATTCTTAGCAGTTCTAAGGATTTGGGAATTATATTTTGAGAGCAGTTCAGAGTCCTTGGATTTCTAAACAGAGACGGATGTGGCTGGATCAGATTTAAATTTTTGAAAGATTACTGTGGCTAAAATGTGGAGAGTATAAAAGGGCAAAAATGGACACAAGGAGGGCTATTGTGATATTCTTGCCAAGTGAGATTGGAGACGTCTTAGACAAAGTGGTATTTCACTTTTAAGTAAGTAATCTATAGAAGAATATTAATGTTTATTTTGAATAGTGGAAATAAGAATATTTTTTACTTAAAAAAATCTCTCTTTTAGGATTTTCTGTGGCACCCAGAAGTTAATGGTTCTATGAAAGAGTGTATCAAAATGTGGACGGAGGTCTGTATTAGAAAATATTGATCTTTTTTTGCGAAACCAAATTTAAAAAGGTCATGAGCAGCCATTGTTTTGCTTTCCTTTGCTCACCTGTCTCACCCTGTTATACTAATATCCACCTGCTTCTAGACTGATTCTAGCACCTCACTAGGAAGAGCAAGTACGAGCCATTTGTGTCTGCCCTCTTTATCACCGTTCCAGCTGCAAGGCAGACTATGCTTATAGCAGACTTGCCAGATTCAAAATTCTCTGCTGCTGTTTCAGCTCAGCTAATTCAAACCCAAGTAATCTGTATAGAACAACATTCATTCTCTTGAGCATTTTTCCACTTTGTCCTTCTCTTATTTATGCTTAGATACTTAAGGAAAATTTGTTTTTTGAACCCTGTCTTCTCTTTTATTATTATATTTATGAGCCAAAAGATGAGAAGTATGTTTTAGCTTAGAATGCTTGGAGAAGGGGAGCATACTGTTAACCTCAGGAAATCATTCAATTCTCATAAGTTCCACGTTACAGTCTCTACAGTAGTCTCCACAAAGCTTTTTGTCAGTCTCAATTAAACTTGCATTTTTCCTACAGATATTTACATTTGGGATCGATAAAGTAATTTGTTGACTTTATTTGGCCCATGTACTTGTTTGCAAGTTTTGTTTTATTTTTTGCTTGTTTTCACAGTAATTATATAGGTCTACACCATATCATACAATAAATAGGTTTTTGTTGGATCACGTGGGAATCTAGCGACTATTTATAATTTTGTTTCACTAAGAAAATGTGTTCAAATTTCTACAAAACAAACATGTATACAATAGATAAGAGGGGGTAACTTATTCAAGAAATCCTCAGCATTTGTGCAGTGAAGTGCAAAGTGGCATTGAAGTACAAGGAGCTTTTATTTGTGTTTGGTTTTGGTTATTCTTTTCATGTACTTAATTTTGGGGAGAGTTGATAAGAGATGAGGTAAACATACTAGATGAGGAATGCTATGCTAAGCTGCATCTGGGGGATTAATTTTACCCACCTGTTTGTGCATTTTTCCCTATTGTACATAATCTAAAGTGTATTTTATACAAATGAGAATTGAGGTGATTAGAAGTTGAGTGGAAGAAATTGTGGGTAGAGAATGTAGAGATTAAAAAGGAAGAGTTTATAGGTGATGGAATTATCGAGCGGATTCTGAGAAGTTGCAATGGAAGGGATAGGAAGAAAAGCAAGAGAGGATGGACTTAATAGAGTATTTGGTAAAATTCTTTGAAGTTTGTGAATTAGATGTTGCTGAAGAGACAAGTGGCATCTGCGTAACAAATATCGATCACTGTGATAAGGGTAAAGAGGGAGCTACCTCAGTATGAGGACAAACTTTAAAAAACAGAATCTGATTCATTGAATTATTTAATGGTATAAAACAAAGTATACTCTTCTGGAAATGGACACATCTCTGAAGGAAAATGGGTTTATTTTATTATTTTGATAGTATTCACTGAAATATATTACGTTTATAATGACAAATAATAATGGTCATTTTTATTTTTTGTATGTGTCAGATTTGGGGGGCACATTATTATAATATTTGGTTTTTGATGTTTTTGATGTGACATGAAATGCATTGAATTCAAAAGTTTGGAAACTGAATTTCTGACTATCTCTGCCAGGCCGCATCAGTACCCTGTTAATTGCTCTGAGTCTGTAGCATTGTATTGTAAAATGTATTCAGTATCTTTCTGTCTACTTCACAGTCTAGTACCAATTTTTATTAAAATGAGATAATTTAAGAGAAAATGCTTAGTAAATCACTAAGTACTATGTAATTGTTATGCTGTGTACAACATATACATTTTATACTAGTAATATAACTAGAAATAGTGTAATTTGCAGCTGCTGAGTATTTCTTTTTTTCTGCATGCAGTCTTTAGTAATTATTAGTATATTTTGTTAAATACACATTAGATTTAGCTTTCCCAAAAAAGTATGTCTCCACAGGGCATTGACCTTGTGTTTTTTTAATACTCGCATCTGCTGTACCCTGTAGGCTTCCATGACTACCTCTTGATTGACTGACATAATACACTAGAACTTTAAGCAATTTACTCAGCTTTCAGAATAATGTTAGGCCATGTTAGATTTCAGTAGGGTTTTTTGTGTTTTGTAATAACACCAAAAAATTAACCATGCAGGTCCCATGTCATATGTATAACCATGCAGCCACGTAAGTGTTTAAGCATTGGATGTCTATGTTGCAATGACAAGAGTCCAGTAATGAATTCTAGGAATTTAAAATGATTCAGATGAAAGAACTTACATTTCCAGGAGGGAAAAAGTAAGTTATGTTACTTGTATTCAGTCGCAGTACCGAATATAGCATGATTATAAAGGTTTTTCTTCCTTCAGGATTCTGCTACAAAGCCCCATGTGATTGTAGCAGGAGCTGCCACAGTAAGTTCTTATTTCTTATGCTGTACTGTGAGTTCTGTTTCACACTTAAGGACGTGATAAGAAAAAATTAATTTTTGTTAAATGGAATTCTTGATTGTATTTATATTTAATTCCTGTCCATTACAATTAGACTAATGAATTACAACAGATCTGAGTGAATTTAGTAAACTTTGTGTTAAATTTCACTTTATATCTAGTTTTATAGGTATACTTCTTGATTGCTAACCTTGGAAGTCTATTTTGACTGCAGCTTTTTACAACTGCTTTTATGTATTTCATGAAGTAATTTGACCAAACTTTACTCTAATATTAAAACAGGAATTATCTTAAAGTAGCCTTTATTATAGTAGATAAATTATACACTTTAATTTTTCTGTGATAAACACTGAATTAATGCTTAATTTCTACTCTTAGTGGTCCATCAAGATTCACAATGGTAGCAATGAAGCACTTTCTCAGTATAAAGTGAATATTTCTTCCATAGCACCACTTCTAGAAAAATTGGCAAAGACTAGTGATGTCTACTGGGTCTTACAAGGTAAGGAAGGAACAATGAAACAATGTCATTTTGTATGTATTAGAAGGCATGAGTTTTATTTTCTTCTATTCGAGAAGCAAAATTTCTGCTTTATGAGAATAAATTTTGGAATAAGGTTTTCAAAATTAAATGAGTTATGTGCTTCTTTTTAAATTTTTATTTATTTATTTTTGGTACCAGGGATTGAACTCAGGACCTTGTGCTTGTGAGGCACATGTGGTGCCACTGAGCTAAATCCCCAGCCTAACTTCCTTTTTTAATTTAAGGAATAGAAAAATAATACAATAAAGAAATAAGACCTTCCAAGGAACCTCAGCAGGCAGAATGGCACAAGAAAATGTTTCAAAGAGATAAATCTGATTTTTTAAAAAGTATATTTAGAGAAATAATAAGACTGATGATATTAGAATCATTCTGGAAATAAATATACTTTCAAATTGACAGAGTATATTTAAATTTGCACCCTAGTTTCTGCTTGGTAATGAAAATTCTTTAACATAATATAGACATTAGATCAACTCATTTCAGGAATTTATTGAGTGCCGTTATTTAATGCCTAACACAATATGAAATGCCTTGGATACTCTAGCAATTCTCATTGTTTGTCAGAAACTCTTAATTATTTCCAGTTGAATGTCAAGGTGAAAAGAATAAGAAAATGTTATCATGATCTGTTCCAAAATCCATTTTATTCACAGATTCATTTCTGTGAAATGAATCTTACTAAAATGAGAAAAAATTAAATTATTCCTAATATGCAATAAAAGAATAGATGTCAGTCCTTACTCTCTTCAAATTGTGTGAACAGTTAATAAAATTGAGCATTGATAGGAGAAAAAATGATTAGCTTCTATTTTTAAGCAGTCTTTCATAATTCAGTTTTAATTTCTTATTACTGGTATTAAAAATCTTAAACTTTTAAGACTTGCTGTAATATAAAAATCTTTCCCCAAAATTGTATACATAGAGAAGGGATACAAGTTCTTTAAATTTGAGGGAGATAGATTAACTCAAAAATTGAGTATAAGAAATCTATTATAAACCTTGGCCATACTTATATAAAAATGAATTTTGGGATGCGTGGTATTTTCTGAACTTCAATAACAAAATACAAAATACTGATCAACTAATTTACATGATCACAATTTCTACTAATAGAAATTTTTTAAATATGTTTTTTAAAATGTGTTTTATGACAGATCCTGTTTATGAAGATCTATTAAGTGAAAATAGGAAAATGATCACCAATGAGAAGATAGATGCTTACAATGAAGCTGCAGTCAGTATTTTGAATAGTAGCACCAGAAATTCTAAATCAAATGTTAAGATGTTCAGTGTTTCCAAATTAATTGCTCAAGAAACCATCATGGAATCTTTGGATGGCTTACATCTTCCCGAATCAAGCAGAGAAACTGTAAGAATTCTCAAGTCATACAACATGATTGTAGTTATTTTATTAAAATCTTAGTCACTCAGATATTCTAAGGTTACATCATCTGGAAATAATTTTGTTTTCTGTTATCTAGCTGAACATATAAGTAAGAATTTGGTATAATTTAATAGAATAAAGTTAGAGAGGAGGGGAAATGAAGCTTCATGTATTGAGGACTGTCCACTGTAGAGTGTCTTCTCACATAAGAACGAAAGTTTCCTTTGCAAACTCATGTTTGAAAACTGCTTTATATTCTCTTTGCCTTATGTTTACAAGACTAAATGTTGATTGGATGTGGTGAAACATGCCTGTAAACCCAGCACTCTTGGAAGCTGAGGCAAGAGGATCGCAAATTTGAGCCCTGATAAGGCAATTTAGCAACTTAGTGAGACCTTGTCGCAGAACGAAAAAAGGCTAGGGTATAGGTCAGTCCAAATGCCCCTAGGTTTAACCCCCAATACTGACTGTCCCCCCAAAAAGATGAAACTTTAATGAACAGCAGATTTTTTTAGTATATAAAATGGTTTTTTTTTTCCTTATACCTCTGCATTATTTAAGGTATGGATTAGATACTGAACAAATCCATGTTGATTGATGGAAAAGAGTTAAGTGTCAAAGGGACTTGCATAATTCTAAATGTCCCCACATAGTAGAATGGATTATGGTTGGTTTGGTGTTTTGTTTTTTCTTATAAAGTAATGCTCTTAACTTTTTTATGGTCACATAAGCCCTTTGGGTATGTGATTTAAAACAAACAAACCAGTCAACCAGTGGTTCTGTTACCTCCCTGCAGAAAAATGCCATGTTCACATATCCACATGGTCCTCCATGAATTTATCTTAGGTGCTTTGTGGATTTCCTGGAATTTGGTTAAGAACCTTGTGGCAGAATTTGTAGGCAGAGACCTGTAAGAGTACCAGACACAGAATTTCCTGAAGTCTCAGGGTAAAAGGATGAGGTTTTTCTAAACATTGCAATACTTGAGTACTTTGTGGCCATCAAAACTAGAGTTTGAAAGTTCAACTAGACAGGATCTTGATCTCTTGCTTAGAACAATTTTATTATAGTCAAATCATGTTGAGGATTCCAAATTTTATTTAACTTTAGAAATCTTAAAACTGTACAAACCTAAATGGTCTATATAAGCTATAACCTAAATGAAAAGCATAGCAAAAATATTGTTAGCTAAGAGTTTATAATTTTGTATTAGAAGTTATTCTACATTCTTTTTTTTTTTTTTTTTCACATCTGAAGACTGTGACTCTTATCTAAAGCATCCTGGTATCTTATCTTCTTTTTTGAGGCAGATGTCCTTGATATCTGTCAGTATTTTCTTTTTTAAACCAGGAGTCACAATCCATTAGCAGCCATAAAATTCTGTTTCGTTTTGTTTTGTTTTCCTTAAAGAACAGAACCATGCCAGAGTGCATTCCAAGTAGTAGTAGTATTGTTTCCTGGGTCACCTTATAAAAACGAGTATATTACAGATGATAGCCCTAGAACTTTGAAACACCCCGAACTAGCTATTATAGATTGAAAGAATACCATTATTTTCATGAGTGTTTGGGAAATTGTTGCAAAAAGTAGAAAAGCATTTTGGTTTCAGTGTCAAAAACTCAGCAATATTCACAGAAGAAAATCAAATGTGAAATACATCAGTGCCAAGATAATAACCAAATAACTTGATTTGTTCACAGAGTGCAATGATTCTTATGAACGTGTATTGCAATAAGATTTTGAAGCCTGTAGATGGTTCCTGTTGTCAACCTCGGCCTCCCCTTACTCTCATACAGAAGCTAGCTGCTTGTTTTTTCACTTTCTCTATTATTGGATATATAATTTTTTATATAATTCATCGTAATCCTCATCGGAAGAATAAGCCATTTAGTGATTTGGAAAGCGGAGAGGAAAAGAAAAATATTATCAATATCTCCTTGTCTCCATTAGAAATACTTTTACAGTCTTTCTGCAAACTTGGCCTGATCATGGCATATTTCTATATGTGTGACCGTGCGAATCTGTTTATGAAGGAAAATAAATTCTATACACATTCATCTTTCTTTATTCCAATTATCTACATATTGGTTTTGGGAGTATTTTACAATGAAAATACTAAAGAGGTAAGAATCCTTTCCTTTTTAGTTCATGTTATCCTTTTTGTCTCATTACAAAGTCTAAGTTAAAAAAGTATCATTTATTGTACCAGAATATACAACCATAAATAGACAAAGATGAAGGAAATTTATAGTTACCCTTCCCTTAGTAGCTTTTTTTTAACAGTTGCTTTTTTTTGAAACGGGAGGAAACGTAAACGGTTGGATGAAAAAGTTGTTGAAAAGTTGGACAGCTTTACCTGTGGAAAAGATGTCATAACTTTCAAGGATGGAGAAAGTGGAAGCACTCCTGATTTTATAGTGGGATATTTATTATCTTGTATAAAGTAAAAAATCATATTAAATGTGCATGCACAAATATTTTATATTTAACTATTTAGCAGACATAAACATACAAAGTAGAACTTGCACAGTGATGTGACTACCAGTTTTAGTATTCCGAGTTTCCTAAAATAGAATTGCTATCATTGCTCAGAATATTTGTATAAATTGTTTCATGGCATGAGGTGCTCAAATTAATTCAATTGTAAAAGTAACTCTCATAAGAGGATGATTAATCAGTTCTTCATCTTAAGTGAGAGTGTGCTAGGGAAAATGAACTCTTAACACCGGAATCTTTTCTGTCAATTAAGTGTAAGAGAAATATAAGATTGTTTTAAACTCTGAAACTGTAAAATTCGGTCAAAGAAAATTATAGTATGCCATTTTTTGAAATTACTCAAATCTGTCATAGTTTAAATGACATTTAATATAAAACCATAAAGATCAATTTAAATATTAAAAACCCGTTTAGTTTATAGTTGTTTGTCAAATGCATGTTATATTTAAAGGTTTTATTGTATCTTTTAAAGTGATAATTTTTAACTGTCTCCCCTTATGACCAGGATTTCTTTGACCTAAAGCATTAGCTTTATACATTTATATATTCTAAGAAAAATTTTGACATACTTGTTATGTTCTGTTCAAATAGTTGAACTTTAAAAGAGATTTTGGTTCCTTTATGCAGACTAAAGTGTTAAATAGAGAACAAACAGATGAATGGAAAGGCTGGATGCAACTTGTGATTTTAATTTATCACATCTCTGGAGCAAGTACAGTGAGTATTATAAACTTAAGTTCACAAAAAATAGGAAATAATGTCACTTTGTTTCTTTAGGGCCACTGGCTTTTTTGAATTTTATATTGTCTACTAATTAGAGACTCTTCTTATTTTCCACTCATCTTTCTGCCTTAACTCTTTGAAACTCTTATAATTTTAAAACAAAATTGAAATTGCTTTTTATTTATTTATTTTTTATTTTTTATTTTTTCCATTTAAATCTAAGATTATGTTTCTTTTTTATTTATTAATTTTATTGAGTTTATTGGTACATTTTAGGGATACAGTACAGTTACATTCATTGTTGGGATCTTGTACCTCTACAAGACAACTCTCTACATGACACGTCTTGATTCTCATTTTTTCCCCTTACCTCTGCCCTCCCCTCACCCCCTCCTCCCCTCCCCATCTACAAACACTTTATTTTCATCTTTTCATTCTCTCACATTTTTTTCTTTTCCCTTTTTGTTCTTCCCCTAAAGGTGCAGGGAAGATGTGATGGGTAGGGGAAGAACAAAAAGGGAAATGAAATTGCTTTTTAAAAAGATAAGTCAATAATTGGTTTGTATTTACTTAATGTTAATATAGCAGAACTAGCTGATACCTAAAGGTATTATTTAATGCCGCCTTGTTGAACAGTTAATTTGCAGTTATCAGGAAACTTTGTAAGGGCTGGGGATTTAGCTTAGTGGTTGCACCGCCTGCCTTGCCAGCACAAGGTCCTGAGTTCAGTCCTTGGTACCAAAAAACAAAAAACAAACAAAAAAAGAAACTTTGTAGATCACAAGTAATTTAGAATAGACAGGTTACTAAAAGAAATCAAATTAGATTATTCTATATTCTGTTCTTCACTGTAGTTTAGGAAGTTCAATCAACTATTTTTATATTTTTTAAATTTTAAAAGCTTAGAACTGCCTTGCCCTTGTGTTGAGAAAAATCTAGGTACAGACAGACTGTCATTATGAATCATGCTGTGGATGCAGCACTTGCTATTTCCTCCTCTGTGCTGCAGAGGAGTCTGTTTTTGGTCACCCAGTACCTTCTATGTCCAGTTTGATTTTCTTCTCCTTAGGTATCTTAAAAAGTAGGACTTTCATGATCTGTGCCTATGATGGATATGGCAGAATTAGGAAAAATGTCATTCATTCTGAGATGTAGCATTCCAGCTATACTATAGGTGAAATGTCTATAAAATAGGCTTTAAAAAGTTAACAGACTTATAATTTGGAAGCAGCCAAACTGTTTTATTTCTTTATTTGCTTATATAAAGCACACATCTATAAACTGTTTTGGAATCAGTGATAAATTCAGATGAGAGAGGAGTGCCTAGAAAAGACTATTTTGAAAATTCTGTAAAATCATTTAAGAAGATAAATAATATTACTGGGTTTTTCCAGATAATTCTGCAGTTTTGTAAACAATATTATTCTTCATTATCTCTTTTATTTTCAAAATTTGTTAGTGATTTTACAGATTGTTTGAAAGGCAGAAGACAAAAGAGTAATGTGTAATTTTTACAGAAATTAATGGCTATGAATATGTATATTTGTGGCAACAGTGAAATCTCAGTTGAAGGGTGCTACTTTGAATAGTTATGGTTGAGCTAAGATAGTAAGGATTGAAAGGACAGATGGAGATGGTAACACTTAATTTAGAACCTCACTCAGATTTTTTTTTTTTTTTTTTTTTTTTGGTACCAGGGATTGAACTCGGGACCTTGTACTTGTGAGTCAGGCAGTGGAACCTCTGAGCTAAATCCCTGGCCTCCTCACTCAGAATTTATAGAATAATTTTAGAGATTCTTTGAAAGTAAATAAAGATGAATATTGAATCCTAAAAATGTTGCTGACATGTGAATAAAGACTGATTTAATTTTGCAGGGAGAAACTTTTACTTTAAGAAAATGCCATTTAGAGCTGTAAGTAATTGCTGACATATTAAAGGGTGATTACTAATACTACTTTAAAAATTAGGTAGAAAAATAGTGATATATTGGGTTATTCAATACAATGATTCCAGAAAGGATTTATATCATAAAACGATAAAGCCAATTTAGTGTTCTATTTTAATCATTTACCAACCTAGCATTCTAATTTTTTAGCCTAACATTATATCATTTTATATATATATTTTTTTTTTCTTCTTCTTTTTTTTTTTTTTCTTTTTAGCCACAGGGTCTTGCTTTGTTGTTCAGGCTGGCCTTGAGCTCACTGTGTAGCCCAGGCTGGCCTTGAACTCACAGTGATTCTCTGCCTCTGGCTCCAGAGTACCAGGGTTACAGGCGTGTTCCACCACTCCTTGCCTAATATATATTCTTAGTCTACATTGCAATACATTCTAATGTACAGTTTTTAAAGAATCCTTGTTCTACATGGACATAATTTTTATTAACAGATCATTTGTAATAATGAATCCTAGTTGTGTTATGCAGGATTTTGTGGTTAAAAATTTCCTGTCTCTATATTGGCGAAATATGATTAATATAGGTTATAACGTATTTGGAACATGATTCTTGGATAGTTGAGATTTTAACAGTCATTACCTAATCTTAATGATTTGTATAAAATATTTCAAGCTTTTAGTTGTGCCATTTTTTTATGTTAAAAGAACACCTATGTCAGAAATTCCAGAGAATTATTAAAATAACCAAGATGGTCTGACAGATTTCAACTGTAAGTATAAATATTCTTTTAAAATTTATATAAAATATGGGCCAGGGATTTACCTCAGTGGTTCCGCCACCTGCCTCACAAGCGCAAGGTCCCGAGTTTGATCATCAGTACAAAAAAAAATTATATAAAATACTGTTAATACTGAATGAAAGGCTGTGAGGAAAATATTGTGGAACTAGAAAATCAATAGAACTAGAAATCAGCCTAGTTAATAAATGAAGTTAGAATTCAAGATAGATTTTAATATAAAAACTTTGTTATGAGTAACACTTTTTTAATGAAAGGAAAAAGAAAAATAGTTTGGAGACTGAAGAGATGTCAACTAAGTGAAATATGTGACCTTTGACTAAACATTCCTAGATCAAAAAACATTTTCCATAGTCATAAAGGTATTACTAGGGTAATAAAAGGAATTTATGGATAATAGGGCAAATACTGTAATATTCATATTAAACTTCTTGGGCATAATGATGACAATTTAGTCATGTCAGAAACTACCCTTTCTTCCGAGGACTTACACGGTGCACATACAGATTGTTCTCATACGTTCTACAATATACTTCACACGTTTTCAGAATGATATATAGTTGTTTATTGTACAACTTTTCTGTTCATTTATATACCTCAAAACTAAAAGTTAGAGATAGTACACGACAAGGACTCGGGATTTAACTCCGTGGCACTGTGCCTGCCTGGCAAGTGCAAGGTCCTGGGTTTGATCCCTGGTATGTGACATGTAGTAGAACAGCATTGGCAGGAGCTTGAAAATCGTGACAATGTTAAATTTAGTTTAATTTAATTTTATTTACTGTTTCAATTTAATAACCAAGCCCAGCTTTGTAATTCCAGCCCCAATCTCAAAGGGACTTGTAACCATGTTCTGTAGAGAGTGTTAAAGTAACTGAGAATGGTTGACATAGGTATGACATCTGTTTTCCAATACTTATAGAACTATTAGATTTAAGAATGATTTGGGCTGGGGATTTAGCTCAGTGGTTCTGGCACCTGCCTTGCAAGTGCAAGGACCCAAGTTTGATCTCCAGTGCCAAAAAACCCACAAGATTTAAGAATGATTTAACTACAGCATGTGATTGTAGAGCTAGACTCTTCATTATAGTAGCCAGTTGCTATATTTGGCTTTTGAGCATTTGAAGTATAGCTATTTAAAACAGATGCTGTATAAATACCCCAGGTTTAGTATGATTAATTCTAATAAATTCATTCTAAGTTAAAAACAACTTCGCATTAAAAAGAATGTAAAACATCTATTTACATGTTGAAATGATAGTTTAGATATATCGAGTTAAATAAAATAAATGAAATAAAATTAGTTTCCTGCTTTAATTTTTTAATTCTCTGATTGCCACATAAAATAAGTTACCTTTATGACACATTTTATTTCTTTTAGTACTGTTCTAGAGAGCTGAATTTGGTAGCTTTTACATATGGTTAGGTTTTAACTTCTCATGAAAAAGAACGTTAGCAGTTAATGACTGTCTGATAATGAAATGGATTTTGTTGGGAATCTGGATGTTTTCTGCTGTTAAAAAGTTATTTGACAAATTCGGGAAAGGGATATTTTAGATTTCATTTATGAATGAAGACATGAGTTTCTTTAAGTTCTCAGGTTTTAATACTACATTTCCCACCTTCATCTCTGTGACTCTAATGTTACATATTCACTGAAAGTAGTGAGAAAAGACACCTAAAAAAATAATAACTATGATGAAAGGTAAGGGTAAAACTATATGTTTGAAACATAGACTTTTGGTGCTATAAGAACAGAGATAGGAGAAATTACTTTCATCTGATAGTAAAATTGAGGTTTTGAACTGGGCTGTGAAGGACAATAGGATTTGAATAAACACAGAAAAAGAAACTTTGGGGATGAATGAACTGGTAAACAAAAGATAATTAGCAAGGAACCACAAGAAGGACCACTTTAAAAGACATTTCTGTAAGTTTGGTTAGATAGAGGCTGTGTAGCAAAATTTATGATCTGTTACAAGTTCAGGGCTTTGTTTTCTCCCAGTATAATCTTGCCCTTCAAAAAAGAAAGATGTTTCTACATGCAAGCTGAAGATGCATACAGTCAAGGGCTTATAAAATCTTATTTAGCCAGCCATTTGAGAGTCTGAGACTGGGGGTCGGGTCACAAATTCAAGCCCAGCCTCAGCAATTTAGCTACTTAGATGTTATCTGAAAATTATGAATGAACGAATGAACATATGAATGGATGAATGAACAAATGACCAGTCGGTATGTATCTCAGGGTTGCCGCATCTGGCTGTGAGCTCAGGTTTGGGGTTGGGGCAGGGCCTGTTTAAGGTGTTTGCTTGATTGTTCTATTCTGCAGAAACTCACTGGGAAAAACACATTAACCTAAAAATGACTGCATCTATAAGCAATCTTGATGCTGGATAAACCAGCCTATGAAGGATCACTTTAAAAAGCAGTATATTGAATATGTTATAGAGATGGTAAATATCCACTTAATCAGTCACTGGTGGATAGGTAGAATGACATTGTTCTAAGATTACAGGGATTACAGGATGCCCAACTTTTGAGCATAAATCTTTTCACTGAGCTAATAGCAAATGAAAATAACAATTAGTGTATTCGTTATGATACTTAAAGGTATAGTTTATGCCATTATGTGTTTAACCTATTTATTTTTGTCAACAGTTTTTGCCTGTGTACATGCACATTAGAGTTCTGGTTGCTGCATATCTTTTTCAGACAGGGTATGGACATTTCTCGTACTTTTGGATCAAGGGAGACTTTGGAATTCATAGAGTATGTCAGGTGGGAATGTATTCCATTATTTTCTTTTTCTTGCAATCCAGCATGCCTCTTTGCCAAACCTAAATTGGGCAATTATGAGACCATGAGTAATTTAAATTGATGAACTAGCACTTCAAAATTGTATTTCTGTGTTTAGTAAACTGAGATATGTAGTTTATTGGTGCTGAGAGGAAAATATAATTTAGGTGCATATATTGTAAAAGCACTGATACATAAGGAACACTTTAGTGATTCACTTTAGAGTTGTAGAAATGTACAGTTACCTGAGATTATTATAATGTGCTACTTTTTTCTCCCTGGACATTAATATTTGTTAACTTTCTATCATGTGTTAAGCAGTTTCTAAACAGTTTGTCTCTTAGTTATCTTCCTTTATGGATGAAGAAACTGAGGTGAGAGAATAAATAATTTCCCCAAGGTCACAGCACAGCCCTAATGTAAATCTCAAAAAAAAAATTCTGTATTCTCAGAATGACTTCAAACTGATGTATGAAGTAACTGTTACAAAGGTCCCACAGACGTTTTTGAGCAATATTATTTTGTTATCTATGATAACACTGTTTAATCTCAGTGGTGTAAATAAACATCAGATACCCTTTCTTGGGGTAACCTAACATCTGCTTATAAACTATCGCCTCAGGAAGGAATTTTACAACTTTTCCCCCTACATTTGACAGTATGCTAGTTATAGTTAGAGGACAGCTCAGGCTGGTACTTTGCTGGGATTTAGTTAATATTGTGGTGCATAATTACTTTACATTCACAGTGATTCTAGGACAAATATAACTTTAGAGGTTAGTAAAATTTACTTGTAGTCGTTATTTGAGTCTTAAGTGTTAATACTCTCAGAGAAAGTCTGTGTTTGCTTTTCATAAAACCTGAAATGAAAACCATTTTCTTCTCCTTTTTAATAGGTCTTATTTCGTCTCAATTTCCTAGTAGTGGTGTTATGTATAGTAATGGATCGACCTTATCAGTTCTATTACTTTGTCCCCTTGGTCACTGTATGGTTTATGGTCATATATGTTACTTTAGCATTGTGGCCACAGATAATCCAAAAAAAAGCAAACGGTAAATATACTATCTTACTAATGTTAAAAAATATTCATTCAATGTATTAATTTGTTTTTGCTGCTAAAGATTTTTATTAAAAGATGTAGGCAGTTTAAATTTATATGTAGTTTTGACATTTTGAATTTTGTTCTAAGCTATATTTCAAAAATGTTATAGCTGTCTTTCATGGCAGGTTATAATATGATATAATACATTATAACATTGCAGAATACTAGTTTATATTTGTATTATGTGTTTTCCTTTTTAAAAATTAATTTTTTCAAAAACAAGTCACATTTTTACTAATTGAAATAATTTTCAAACTGTCTTGTACAGAGCCAGAGGTGGATATAGTTGGAAGAGAGAAAAGAAAGCCAAATAAACTTTCAGACCCCTGTGTCTTGCTTTAGTATTGGCAGTTGTTTTATTTGATTTCTTATATATATGTGGGTTTTTACTGAACATCCATTTGCAGAATAGCCTTTTATGTCCAAGTTTAGAAGCATAAATATGATTTGTCTATAGACAACTATTTTTTTAATTAACCTGTTTTTTAACCCAAGTGGCCAAAGGTCATTTTCAAAGTCCCCATAGCCTGCTACCACATTTGGAGAAAAGCTGCAGTCCTCCATACTAATGCTTTTTTCCTCAAGGTCCTATCGTTTAAATGAAATGCTCCCTTTTTTTTTTGAAAAACATTTTTTAGTTTTAAGAACGTACCTAGTTTTCAACTAAGTATTGTATATCAAAAATATTTTTCCTTTGGCTTCCATTATTATATCAAATAACTTTTCAGGAAAGAGTTGAGATCTGTCCTCTATCAGAGTACTGTGTCTGTGGAAGCCTCTTCAGTAGAATCGCTCTATACAATCCTGGCATATTAATCAAATATTCAAAATGCATAAACTTTGAACACAAAATTTAAAATATGCGTATGATATGTCCCATAGTTCAATCTCATCGATTAGAAAATATAAGCTCTCTTCTTGAAACTTTACAACAAATTAACAAATTGCCTAAGTTGCACATGAGTGTTAGCACTGTACTGAACATGTTATTCTATATTTTGTTATAACTTTCCATAGCAAATAGGTATAATTGAATCTAAGAGATTCTTTTTTGGAGGGGTACTGGAGATCAAACCTTGTGCTTGTGAGGCAGATGCGGTGCCACTGAGTTAAATCCCCGGGCCTCTAAGAGATATTTTTAAACATATGTATAGTACCTGTGCAGCAAGTGTATAGGGTATTGGTTATGTGCTGTATCCTCATTCCTAGCAAGAATTCTCTGCTTTTTATTGCTTTTGCCCACCTGTAATTTATTTCACCTATATGTTTTGTATATCCCTGTAAGAAACCTTATATTATTTTGAGAACTTTTCAGGGTATAAAAAAATGTTAGTATTCATTGTGTTTTCTTATATGTTTATATTCATAGTAAACTAAAGTATTTTCTCTTTTAGGAAATTGTTTCTGGCATTTGGGCTTACTGTTGAAACTAGCCTTTTTGCTGTTATGCATATGTTTTTTGGCATATTCTCAGGTTTGTACGGTCTTTTCCATTTATATTAGGTAATATTTTAAAGTTCAAATCTATTAAAGTATGTGAGAAGAATCAGGGTTTTTTTTAAGCTTCATTTTTAAAATGACTATAATAAAAGTGTCACTCAGTAGCTGACTATCCAGTGCAGTTCTTTTGAGACCTCTCTACTTTTGTTACCACTGTTTTGTTGTAAGAGCAATTTAAAGCTCTTCCTCTGGCAATTGTTCAAGATCCATTTTACTTGACTTTGATCAATCAAACGTTTATTGAATGCCTCTTATAAGACACTACTCTTAAGTGGGGATTAGAATTCTCTTGACAGAATTTGCAACTTAGTTTGTGCATTATTCATTGCATCAAACTGTTACTTGATGTTTCTATAACCGCATAAAGTAAAATTTTTGCAGATTGTAAAACCTCCTTAGCTGCAGAGAGAGGTTTGTATGTGTCTCATATGTTTAATTTAATAAAATTCTGTGTAATTTTTCTACCTCTGACCTAGTCTGGTGATTGAGAATTTCTATTATTTTAGCAAGATTACAATCTGATACCTGCTGGTGAATCTAGTAGGCAGATATACTTCAGCAGAATATTTTAATTTGAATGCCCATAGCAGTGGTGGTGAACCTTTGGCATGTGTGCTGCAGAGGGCTGTTTGTTACCATTGAGAGCTCTAAACGGTTTGCCATCACTGGCCTATAGTGTTACCATGTGGTGTAATTCCACACATCTCCAATACTGTTTTGTTATGTGGCTGTGTCAGGTGTAAATGCCCTATAGGTATTTTTATGTGTATGTGTAATTCTGGAAAGCTGTTCTGGGAAGGTTTTTTTTTATAGTCTGGGGTACTTACCTGCAAACTTAGAAGCATTAAAACATTTCTTTCTGCATGACATTCAGGTTTTTTTTTTAATAGGAAGTAAGTAAAATAATAAAATACCAGATACATGTATAAAGAGGTAGCAGGAACAAGTTCTTGATAGCTGTTCACTAAAATTCCCAGCACTCTGTGAGCACTTCTGAGGAAAAGAAAAGAAAGCTGAGTAGAAGAGTTAATAGGGGGAATAAGATTTCCCCAGCTTTGGGTCAGTGCCCTCTGGACAAGAATGTAGAATGCAGAGTCTAGGGAAATCCACTCTCCTTTCAAAAATGAATGTTCAGTAAAACAAGTTTATTGATCATATAAAAAGAAATCTAATTAGAAATAAAATTTTAAGTTGTAAAACTTGACTATATATATATATATATATATATATATATATATGTCATA